TAGTGTAAAACTACAACTAACACTATACCTAGAACTAGAATCATTTGGGTTTAGCCGCACGTCTCTCAAGACGGCTAAACCCGAATGATTCTAGTTCTAGGTCTTGTGTTAATTCTAGGAATAATGCTAGTGTAAAACTACAACTAACACTATACCTAGAATCATTCGGGTTCAGCCGTCTTGAGAGACGTGCGGCTAAAACCAAATGATTCTAGTTCTAGGTCTTGTGTTAATTCTAGGAATAATGCTAGTGTAAAACAAGAACTAACACTAGACCTAGAACTAGAAACAGTCGGATTTAGTCGCACGTCTTTCAAGACGGCTAAACCCGAATGATTCTAGTTCTAGGTCTTGTGTTAGTTCTAGTGATAGTGTAAAATTAGAACTAACACTAGACCTAGAATTAGAAACAGTCGGATTTAGCCGCACGTCTTTCAAGACGGCTAAACCCGAATGATTCCAGTTTTAGGTTTAGTGTTAGTTCTAGTGATAGTGCGGTACTAGAACTAACACTAGACCGAAAACTGGAAACATTTGGATTTAGCCGCACGTCTTTCAAGACGGCTAAACCCGTCTTGTCTATGTTTCTAGTTCTCGGTCTAGTGTTAGTTCTAGTATCGCACTATCACAAAATATAGAACTAGAATCATTTGGGTTTAGCCGTCTTGTGAGACGTGTGGTTAAATCCGAATATTTCTATATTTAGGTGTAGTGTTAGTTCTAGTTTTAATTGTTATTCAGCGTTAGATTATGGTATATTTTTATTGAACGAAAAGTAGAACTAACTCAAAGTAAGTAGGTGATAGCTTACAACACCGGAATTCCGGGATTTCGAAAACCGGAATCTCGGACAAAATTGTTGCAGTATTTAATTTTGAACGTTATTCATACGTAAATACCGGTATTTGGTATTAATTTGTCGATTCAGCTTTTGGGGTAGTGGTAGTGCGTGCTAAACGTCGTGCTGACGACGCGCTGTATTACAATTCCAATTAGAACTTGTTAAAAGCTAGAAGGTACAATTAACAACAATTCAGTTTACAACTATATAATAAAAAACTATTTATCGATCATAGAAAAGGGGATGATGAAACATCAGTGTGGTAACATTTCCTAATAAATGTCAACAGGCAGATTGCTAAATGTAAAAAATTTTCGAAGGAAATAAAGTGCTAGTTGATGGATCAACTAATGATCTTCATACCCATTTGAAAACAAATTCATGAATTTAATGTGAAGCAAAGATATGTGCCCACTACCAGTGATACTGATAGTCTACTTATTTCCAAGAAACCGAAACTGATTAGCAGCTAATTCCAAAGTTGCCAAAANTAAATATTGTCTTCCAATATTTAATCACCAACCAGCGATTATACTAAGTCTGGTAAGTGAGTAAGGCTGGCGAATGTATTTTGGCAGAGGAAGTCAAGAAGATACAGAATGAAGCATTACCTTCTAAGACAATATTTTTAAGAGTAAGCGTGTAAAATGTCCTACAGTGGGTCAGTTGAAACCAAGAGTCTTTTTAATCACAAAACGAATTTCTCCCAGCAAATTTTGTGGTAAAGGTGTAAAGATTGAAAGGTGGCAAAAGCAAGAAAAACAAAGTTTTATGGAGAAAACCCAAAAATTGTAATTGACCGGTACAGTTGTAAAGGATCATAGCCGCACATCTTTCAAGACGGCTAAACCCGAATGTTTCTAGTTCTAGTGATAGTGCTAGTGTAAAACTAGAACTAACACTACACCTAGAACTAGAATCATAGACCTAGAACTAGTTCTAGGTCTTGTGTTAATTCTAGTAATAATGCTAGTGTAAATCAAGAACTAACACTATACCTACAACTAGAATCATTCGGGTTTAGCCGTCTTTAGAGACGTGCGGCTAAACCCGAATGATTCTAGTTCTAGGTCTTGTGTTAGTTCTAGTGAAAGTGTTAATGTAAAACTAGAACTAACACTATACCTAGAACTATTGGACAAGCTGAGGATCAAACTTGTCGACTATGCAACGACGAGTCAGAAACTGCTGAACATATACTGTGCCATTGCGTCGCCAGAGGCCGTCTAAGGCACAACGTCTTCGGTAAAACTCCCCTGTTACCTACCGACATAAAGGTTCAAGACCTCAGGACAATACTAAGGTTCATTAAGGACCTACATTTGCTCTAAACCTTTGGAGGGCTAAAGTTACAATAGATCTTATAGGTCGCCGTAACGAGAGGGGCCGCTCTCCTCAGCCCGGCAGCAATAATAATAATAATATACCTAGAACTAGAATCATTTGGGTTTAGCCGCACGTCCTTGAAGACGGCTAAAACGAAAAGTAGAACTAACTCAAAGTAAGTAGATGCTAGCTTACAATACCGGAATTCCGGGATTTCCAAAACCGGAATCTTGGACAAAATTGTTGCAGTATTTAATTTTGAACGTTATTCATACGTAAATACCGGTATTTGGTATTAATTTATCGATTCAGCTTTTTGGGGTAGTGGTAGTGCTTGCTAAACGGCGTGCTGACGCGCTGTATTATAATTCCAGTTAGGACTTGTTAAAAGCTAGAAGGCACAATTAACAACAATTCAGTTTACAACTATATAATAAAAAACTATTTATCGATCATAGAAAAGGGTATGATGAAACATCAGTGTGGTAACATTTCCTAATAGATGTCAACAGGCAGATTGCTAAATGTAAAAAATTTTCGAAGAAAATAAAGTGCTAGTTGATGGATCAACTAATGATCTTCATACCCATTTGAAAACAAATTCATGAATTTAATGTGAAGCAAAGATATGTGCCCACTACCAGTGATACTGATAGTCTACTTATTTCCAAGAAACCGAAACTGATTAGCAGCTAATTCCAAAGTTGCCAAAATGATGCAAAAATTTGCCATTTCATATCTTTATTACCTCTCAAAACATCAGAGAAGGTTTACAAACAAGAGGATTTGCAGATATTTCAAAAACTTCAACCACAATAGGGAATGCGATTCTCCTCCACTCTGAGAAAATTAAAGATAAAATAACTTCTAAAATATGTAGTTTAAGTTTAAAGGTACACCCCATTCAGCATAACATTCAATGAGTGGATTTCAATATCAGGTTAGTACGTGCAATTGATTCAGTACTAGCAGAAAAATGTTTACTATTAGTTGAAGAAAAGTTAACAACTTTTGGTTTCATCACCACTGATGGTGCAGCTGTTATGATAAAATTAGGAAAACTAATAGATGCTGAACATCAGTTATGCTTGGCTCATGGTATAAATTTAGCCATAACAAATGGTTTCTATAAGACCAAAAGTACAAATGAAAATGTAGAAAATGGGGAAGCGGAAGGAGACAGTAGAAATGATGATATGGCTGAACAAGAATATAAGGATTCCGATGATGAAGTAGAAGAAGGGTATAGGGATGGTGTCATCATAGAGCATGATTTTAGTTATTTCTAGGGTTGACTTTAACCAAAATTTCGTGACGCCTCTCGTTGTTTAAAAGTTCACCAACAAAATGTAACAAGTAAAAGTGACAGTCTTTTAACTGCTACGGCTTCATTAAAGTTCATGGCAGATACGCTGTCTGAACAAGAAGGTTCAATTGCTTTGGACTTGCTAAATGCATTAAAACTTCGAATCTCTCAAAAAATTTCAGATACATCACAAATACATGCAAAGTGGACATCAAGAAGAAAATGAGATACTGCAATGCATAACTAAAGCATTCCTAATGTAGCGCGTTGTTTCATTAAGTAAACGACTCTCACTTGCAGCTACAGAAGAAGAAGCACTACTACTTGAAGATCTACAATAACCATCCTGTTCATCATCAGACGCAGAAGTAATCATTGTATCACCACTAAAATCCTCTAGTTCTCCATCTGATCGCGACATACTAAAAAAGAAATTGCAGGAAGCCATAAAGGGGTCGTAGTTAACTGTTCCAAAATCAAAACAATTTTCTTTTAAATAAAGAATTGAAGAAAAAATGCCGTATTTCGACAAAACTGGAAAGAGAGGGATATTTGAATAAGGTATATACATACTTACTAAATATGTTGATTATTTTAATATTGAATATATTTATTTTGAATATTTATAGTTTATTTTTGTTACTTTGTTTCTTCGTTTCAAGTTTTATAGTGCAATAAATAAAATTTGCGTTTTTTATTTCTCTTTTATAGTTTCAGCAAAAAAAGAGTCAATACCAGGATTCAGGGATTCACATTGATTGACCGAAAACCGGGATTCAAAATTTCTAAGCTCTAGCAGGTACGCCCTAGTTTCTATGGAAACATATTTTTGTATATTGCATCGTGAAATTCATAGTATGCTAAAAATGTTCGTGTCGCATTTTATGATATCGTTATTTACAACATTTTTATTAAAGTATTAAATAAAAAAACCAATCATAAAATTGCGTATCATTTATACAAAACGTTGACAAATATTTAAAATATTAACATTTATTTTATGTAATCCTTTCATGCTCAAAGGTAGGGCGGGTTTGTAATATTTGCAAATCATTTCCATTTAGGCCACAGACTAAACCATTAATTTATTTCTAATGATTACCAAGAATATTTAAGAAATAAATATTGAGAATTAATAATAAACATGAACATATTTGTTAAATTTAAATTAAATACATGACGAACTTTTTGGTATTTCACTAAAATAATAAGATCCAATTGTTATCTAATGATCCAATAATAAATTTAGTATATTGCATAGTCACTATTATATTAACCATTTGAATTGGGTAGATTTAAAGATAATCTCAAGGTTACCATTATCTCATTTCTAAAAATTATATAAATATAGGTAAAACAATCTGTTTTTTTGGCAATTTGGATTATTTATGTAGTACTAATTTAAACAATTCTGAGATCCACTAATAAACGTCAAACTTATAAAAGATAACATTTAAACCCGTCTATCTAATCTGGAAGGAAAATCTCAAGGAATATTATCATACCCCTTTAAAAATGTGTACTTACAGGTTTTGGCATCTTGAAGAATGATAGTTTCTAACTGCAATCAGTAAACTGAAAAAGAGAAAAATATTAAAATAAATTTACAATATTCCTAGTATTGTTTATTTTAAAATGTTTATTCATAAACTTTATTCATATCGGGGCGTTATTACTCATAAATTTTACTTCGCAATTTCGATTACGAATAAAAATTAATCAATTCGTTTCTTACAAAACTATCAATAATAAAACAATAAACCAATAAATATAAAAAAGATCAAAAATTAATTAACTCATTTTGACATTTCAAATTGTTAAAATTGTCATTTTGACATTTCGAACTGTCAAAATTGACGTTTTAATAAATCAATTTTTAAATAAAAACTCATTATTAACGTTAAATACAAATTATTGAGTAAAAAAAAAGTAATTTTTTATGTTAAACAATACGCATTGAACGTGTGACTATAATATAGAAGATGCAACAAGTGGTTTCTTCTTTGAATGGTGAATTTTATTCTTAATGGTTTTGACCCCTATCATTTCAAGAAACAATTACTTATAAAAAAAAATAAATAATAAAACGAGAAAAAGCTACTAACCCAATCGATTTAATAATCTAATTAACCGACTTTTCCCGCTACGAGCAGTTAAAACTCTCCGAACTGAAAAGGATTAACCTATAAACGATTTTGAATGAAGGGATGTGTGTTATTTTGTCTTTTGTTGGGTTATTTTTTACTTTTTTTTTGCAGGCGGATTTAGCCGGTGGCTTTATGGGGTACGCGAGCCATTCATGGCCGACTCTTGTTACTGTGGCTAACGTGTTAAATTTTGCCTTACCTGAGGAAAAAGCGACGAGATTTGGGTCCTCGCCGTCGTAGAAAAAAAAGGGGACTTCTAAAACGTGTAGCACGGTCACACCCTGTTCCTTAAACGCATGCAAAGTAGAGCCGATTGTGTGGCGGAACGGTGCAAGAACCCAACACACACTGAGCACGAGCGAATTGTCATCGCAGGATGACCAATCTTTCGAAACTCAATATTACTAGATTTAAATGATAAATAAAATCGTTCCGATAATTAAAGTTATTTTTAAAAAATTATTTTTATATTATAATTTGATAATATTTTAATAACTTAATAAGAAAAAATAAATATTTTAATTAATAATAAAGTATTCAAAGTTAAAAGAAATTTTGTAAATCATAGCGACGTAGAGACATCTATTAAGTTATTATGGAACTTTTGTAAAGAATAAATTATATTTATTTTATTTTTAAACAATAATCGTTATATTGTAATTATTAATTAATGATCATTAAAAAAATTATTTTTCATAAATAATTGCCGATAATAAATTAATTAGAAGTAATATTTTAGAATTAATTTCTATTAAGAGATGGCGCTTTTAATTAATAAATAAAAATAATAAAAAATAAAGAATTTTATTATAAAGATAATCCCACGACAACCCTTTGTATAGCTTAATTCCCGAAATAATCTTAAAGCTTCAAGCTTTATTATATATATCTTCTAAATGTTTAGAATAGGTTCAAACAATTTGTGACATTTTGTTAAGATGGTTAAAATCTAATTATCATTTAAGATGATTCATAAAGTCTGGAGTCTTGCCTATGTAATTTTAGACTTCTTCTTGTAGTCTAGAATCATCTCAGTATAATTGTAGACTTACTTTGTAGGTTGTAATACATCCAGCTTAATTCTTTTGCTTGCAGACTTTTGCTTGCAGTATGGCATTTATCCAGTACAGTTCCACACATTTCAGTAAAGTTTGAAGCTTTACCAATGTAATTAGAAGCCAATTCACACTGTCTAGAATCTATCCAACTATCGATTATTTCTTGCAATTTGGCCAGCATAATTACTAACAATTCCTTGTAGTTCCAAGCCTGGTCAGAATAAACGTTAACTTCTCTTGCTATGTGCTTCCAGACACCTCTTAAGGAAGTTTAGAAGCGATTAGAATGATTCTTTCTTAAACTATGACATATAATCATCAAGATACCACACTTTTTCTTCAAATTTTCAGTCTTTCCAGTGCATTAAGAGACTTCTTTTTGGTACACAGTTTCCTGTAACGTTTAGTTGGATAAAAATAACAAAAAGAATTTTATTATAAAGTCAGTCTACCCCTTTGTATTGCTTAAATCCCGAAATAATCTTAAAGCTTCAAGCTTTATTATATATATCTTCTAAAGTTCAGAATAGGTTCAAACAATTTGTGACATTTTGTTAAGATCTAATTATCATTTAAGATGATTCATAAAATCTAGAGTCTTGTCTGTGTGATTTCAGACTTCTTGTAGGTAGTCTAAAATCATCTCAGTATAATTGTAGATTTACGTTGTAGGTTGTAATATATCCAGCTTAATTCTTTTGCTTGCAGTAAATCTGACATTTATCCGGTACAGTTCCACACATTTCAGTAAAGTTTGGAGCTTTAACAATGTAATGAGCAGCCAATTCACACTGTCTAAAATCTATTCAGTAGAATTATCGATTACTTCTTGCAATTTGGAATTTGGCCAGCATAATTACTAACAATTTTTCCAAGTTCTAAGCCTGGTCAGAATAAACGTTAACTTCTCTTGCTTGTATGTTTCCAAACACTTCTTGGAAGTTTAGAAGCGGTTAGAATGACTCTTCTTAAACTATGACATCATCGACACTTTTTCTCCAAGTTTCAGTCTTTCCAGTGTATTGAAAGACATCTTTTTGGTACTAAGTTTCCTGTAACGTTTAGCTGGCTAAAAAAAACATAAGCAATTGTATTGATGTAAATACTCAAAAACTTTCAATCAAAGTACCGCGGTTCATGACGCCTAGGTAATCGAAATATTCGAGCAAAAATGACGGGTTAACGTTGTCCATGTTACCAAGGTCCATTGAGTATTGGTTATAAGGTTATCCAACTCGAACAAATTGACGTTGACGCGCTTATTGGATAGAGAATTGTTTTCTCTTTACGATAACGTAAAATTGTAGTACTTATATCACAAAATTTTTGAAAAAAATGTAAAAATTGTTTATTAAGAAAATCAAGTACACTGTGAAAAATGATATGGAAAATTGAACTAAATCAATATAGTTGTTAAACAAATAGTCATTTATGCTAGAAAATTTATTCATTTATCTAACGTAATTTAGCTGAAATTCTAATGTCAAATTTATGATAGTTAATTTATCTATTTACTGAGGTGATATAACTAATTTTTAGAAAAAGAAACTACATCGTGGAAACTAATTGATAAGTCTAGTTGACATATTTGTAATCTTCATTAAAAATCCTTTAAAATGAGTACAAACACGACATATTTATTTTCAATATTAATGAAGTTATGGTCAACTTCCGGTTAGAAATGTCAACGTCAATTTTGACATACTTGTAATCGTCGTGAAAAATCCTTTAAAATGAGCCCAAACATGATACGTTTAATTCCAATATTACTCGAGATGTAAGTAACTTCCGGTTTGAAATGTCAATGTCATTTTGACAGATTCTTCATTTTTATAAAATGTCTTAGTATTTGTCACAAAAACAAAAATATAATAAAAAAAAATAAATAATTAAGGTTGGTATTAATATTTAAAAATTAAATTACCATCTTCATTGTTGCTAACTTCGAGTTTAACGTTTTTTTATTCAAACTTTTTTGTTTTTTGAGATAAGTGCGTCATCTTGGAACTCATTTTAAAGGTTTTTTAATGAACATGACAAATATGTCAAAATTGACGATGACGTTTCAAACCGGAAGTGATTGTATTTTCATTAATATTAAAGTTAAATATGTCGAGTTTGGATTCATTTTAAAGGATTTTTTATGAAGTTGACAAATATGTCAAAATTAAAAGTTGTAAGTTCGAACTTTTTGGTTTTTTGAAATAAATGCGTCAAGTTTGGACTCAGTTTAAAGGTTATTTTATGCAGATTACGAATATAATAATAAAATTAAAGTTGACATTGACAACTGAAAGTTTTTTTCACGACTAAACCCGACTGTTTCTGGTTCTCGTTCTAGTTTTAGTTCTAATAAAAATATACAATAAAACTTTCCAGTTCTAGGTCTAGTGTTAGTTCTAGTATTAATTGTTATTTAACCCTAAATTCTTGTACATTTTAATTGATCTAAAAAATTTTTTTTTCATTTAATCCACTTACCTTGCTTATAATTTCATCCATTTACCAATTTTGAATTAAATACAACCTTTAAATCCAATTAATTATGTGTTTTCATTAAAATAACTTAAATTCAACGTCAATTTTGATAAACACCTGCAATATTTGGATCTTAATCACCATGGTAACCGAGTCAAGTTGGATAACCTAACAATAATAAAATTATAACCGTTAATATTTCGTTTCATATTTTAATTTGTTTTTTATTTTATTTTATATCTTTTTTTTATATTTTTGTATATTGCTTTTTAAGTGAAATACACTGTATAAATAAAAACATAGAAATGTCATTTCTTCCAATGACGTCACAGCAAGGCCTATGCAGGGGGATACGTTCATAACCACTTACATATTTACAAAGATAATGCCATCTTGTTGCCTTTGGAGTTGCAAAAATAGCAATAAACAGGGCTTTCGACTCTTCAGAGTTTCACAAGAGAGAAAATGAAAGGAAATTTGGCATAATTTTATCAACAGAACGACATAGTTTTAAATTTCCCGCTTGACTTTCGAGCCAAAATGGCGGAAAACCGCGATACTTTTTATTCGAGATTTATTCAAAACGTTATCTATTGGTTTTACTGATAACTTTAGTAGCGATTGCAACTGCAGGTAGTTGATGAGAAAGAGGCCAAATTATAAGGATTACACTATTAAATAAGAATACATAAATTTGCTTAAAATGCTGCATATAAGAAGTACATAACCTCCTCTAGCAGATGTCTCTACTGTTAGAGTTAAATCGTTCCAAATGTAGTTGGCAAAAATGGTATTTTGCCAAACCCGATATCGCATTCCACCCAGAAAAAAAAGTGACAGCAATACATAACTTAACACGTTAGCAAAAAGAGTTTCCCAATAAAACAGGTAAGAAAATACATTTTAAAAACATTTAACACTTTCAGTGACTATGCCAACCACCTAACATTGATATAGCTCCTAACTTAACCTATTAGCAGCCATGACTAAATCTCAAACCTTGCTCTTTGTATTGAACCTAATTTTTTTTCTTATTCTTTAGCTAAGATATCATCATGAATGAAGAAAAGAAAACAAGCGTAAAACCGCCTCTTGACCGATTAACACGATTTATTTACCTAAACACTGAAAAGCCAAGATTTATCAGTGGGAATCCTGAGGTTCATAACAAATTTTTACCAAACGAAGTGACTTTTAATAACGAAATTAATTCCTCTGAGTGTCAAAAAGTTCCAGTTTTAATACAATCACTTTCAAAGAAAAATATTCCATACAAAGAAGCCGTTTTTTTCGCTTTAGTCTCATTAATACGATCGCGTACAGCTGAGAAATTTAATCCGCACGATTTATATACGGCGGTTTTAAATCAATTTGATTGCAACGAAGATTTATTTTCGTTTGTTAAATGTTATCGGGCACAAGCTAAAAATATACCGAGTGGTTTAAAAAAAATTATTGCTGCTTATTATTTTCGAAAAGAACCTATGGAGTTGGTTAAAACCGTCACGGAAAGTAATAGTTATCACGGATGGTCGCATAAAGATTTATTTAAGTTGATCCATTACAAAACGGATAATATTTGTTAGTACAAGATTAAACAAAAAAAAATCCTCAAAAATTAAATTTTTTTTTTGTTTTAGTATTTGATTTAATCATAAAATATGTTTTATTCGGTATGGAAAGAGCTCTATCTTCTTCTGGAGGTACAAAAGAAGAAAACGAAATTTTAGATTATTTAAAAAAAATCGAAACTTTTAAAAGATCTGAAGATGAACAATTCGCGATTGAATGTTTCAACGAATTGGAGATTAGCAAGGTTAAACAGCTTCCAGGAAAGCTAAATAAATCTTACATTGTTTGGGAAGCTTTAATTCCAAGATTATCACTTTCCGAATTGATTCAGAATCTCCCAAAATTGTACAAAATGGGATTTTTAAAACAAGGAACTCTACATGATAAAGTAATCGAAATTTTATTGGATAAAAAAAGAATTGAAGCTTCGAAAATCCAACCAATTGAAGTTTTTATTGGATTAAAAAATTTAGAAAAAGGCGGAAAGTAAGTTTTTTTTTTTAATACAGGGCGTCTCACGCAACTGGTTCGTTAAAAATTTTTAAGTTCCACTATCCATACAGTTTTGAAATTTTAGTAGCATAGGTTGTTCATTCGATCTAATATATTTTCAAAATGGCTGCCACTTCCGGTCTACCGGAAGTAAACCATAACTTCGTTATTTTAAATTGTTATAGTTTTTATTACACCTGTTAATTGTACAGGGTGGGCAAATTTCCCTCTCTCTTTTTGGGAGACTAATCCAATCCTACAAACACCCTCTATTTCAGTGGTGTCCATAACGTCGATTTTGATCAAAAATTAGTGGGCATCACTGCTCTAAATCGATTAAACGTCAAAATTGTTGATTTTCGAAAATTAACTCAATCATAACTCAAAAACTAAAAGCGATGGAGAAAAACATTTTATACATAAAATCTTAGTAATGGGCCATAAAGACTAGATCCATAACAAGATTGAACCCAATTATTACCATTTTTTATTTATAAGCTCTAAATCGATTAAACATCAAAATTGTTGATTTTCGAAAATTAACTCAATCATAACTCAAAAACTAAA